CCGAAGATGATCAACAATAAAACGTCGAGATGATGGATGTCCATGTGCTCGACAGTTGCTGCATCTGTGATTTGATGATGCAAAAACAGCAAATGTCAGGACCGTACGGAGGGTGTGGTGTCATGTTTCCTGGGTCCATGTTTTCTTTGACTGAGAGCGAATTCACAGACTGATCTACAATATTGAGACAAAGGGTCCTATCGTCTATTTTTTCGAGTTCGTCGATGTATTTGCTAAATCCTTCTAAAAGTTCCTTCAAAGGCTAAGTCTTACCTGACCGATGTTCCATCTTGATCACTTCCAGCTGTGTTTCCTTCGGGAACTTTTTCGGACGAGATTTTTTAGCGACAGCGATTGTGATGTGTCCTCGAATCGTTCCAATTGCAAAATGCAGGCCTGAATACGGCGTAACGTGATTCTCTGTGAATAAGCATTAGTAGAAGACGGCGGGATCTGTTTGAGCTTCTGTAAGAAGAGATTGTGAGTATAATCTAGCCTGTCAAAACGCTTGAGTAATTGTTCAACCGTTAGATCGTAATTGCGCGGATCAGTTATGTCGAAGGCTTCTACAGCTAGCGCGGCAACCCCTTTGAGACTACTGATTAAATGCAGGAATTTGTTGGCAGTAGAAAGGGATGGATTATTATGGACTGTGGTTTGAATTTAGCCCAAAAATAGAATTGAGATGGTTCCCCAACAAAGGTTGGTAATTCTATTTTGCGCAGCTGTACAGCCTGATCCTCATTCGAGGCGGTAGCCTGCATGGGGAAGATGGTATTTTGCGAAGATGCGCGAGCTAGGGTTGAAGAGATGATGTTGAGCGAGAGCTGAGCGCGGACTTCTTCAGCGAGCTTAACCTTTAAGTCTATCTGCGCATCAAGCTGATCAATTAACTGCTGTGCTTCCTCTATCACCTGCGTCCCTCTATAGTCTTCCCAGTAATTATCGAACTCTTGCCCTATGGTCTCAGGATCTTCCAGCTCATTGATGTTGCGGTAATGCGTGATCATAATGCTCTCAAAGCTTATCAAGCGCACTTTGAATATTGGACTTAGCTGATTTCATTCCAGTTATTCTTTGATCGAATGAACGAAGTTGAGCTTCGAATGTTGGTTGTGTACTGCAGTCCCTCAGGAAACTGGGATCAACTTGCGCCATAGTGCGCATCAAATAGTTGAGAGCCAGGGTCAGTCTTGCTTTAATTGGTCCAAACTTTGTCATGTTCGCTGTATCACTCGGTGACACTATCTGTAATGGAAAATTGGAGTGAATAAGTAATTGAACATTGGTGAAGCTTTGGCCAGAGCGTCACCTTAGAAAGGCTAAGATAATATTATGCGAAAACGGCCAATTCGACACACGAGCAATATCACGGAAAGAAGGCGATAGGGAATTACGGCTGGCTAAGAATGACAAGCTCAGAGCGTACATAAATAAGGACTAGACGGTTACCACGTAACTCCAGACGAAGTAGGGGGACGGGGCATGACAATTATAACGATCTGTTCCA